CATAAAAACAAAAACAGGGGCTGGGGCTATAGCTCAGTGGCAAAGTGCTTGCATTGCATGTGTGAAGCACTGGGTTCAGTCGTCAGCACCACATAAAAATAAATAAAGACATTGAGAGTCCATCTAGAACTAAAAACAATATTAAAAAACAAAAACAAACAAACAAACAAAAAAAAAACCTGGCCCAGCACAATGGCAGACGCCTATAATCCCACCAGCTCAGGAGGCTGAAGCAGGAGGATTGAGAGATCAAAGCCAGTCTCAGCAAAAGTGAGGCACTAAGCAACTCAGTGAGACCATGTCTCTAAATAAAATACAAAGAATTAACTGAAAGATTTAACTGTTAACATTGTGTTATGTCCCTCCTACACCTGGCAATGAATGCCTTGTATGTATCTTGAAGTCAGACTAAAAATAAATAAATGACTTGGGTACAGTGGCATATGCCTGTCATCCCAGAAGCTCTCGGGAGGCTGAGGCAGGAGGATAGAGAATTAAAAGCCAGCCTCATCAAGTGAGACACTAAGGCTGGGATATACCTCAGTTGGTAGAGTGCTTGCCTCACATGCACAAGGCCCTGGATTCAATCCCCAGCACCAAAAAAAAAAAAAAAAAAAAAAAAAATAGGGCTGGGGATATAGCTCAGTGGTTGAGTGCCCCTGAGTTTAATCCCCAGTGCCCACCCCCCCCCAAAAAAAAACCTGGATTCAATGTCCAGCACTGCAAAAAAAGTAAAATAGTAGGGTAGTATGGATTTTTACACTTTTATCTATTTATTGTTGCTTTTCTCTGGTTTCCAATTATTTTTAGTAACTTGATTAATTACTTTTTAATGAAATTAATTAGTTTATTCAGTCATTAAACAAATTTTTACTAAAGAGTTAGTATTTGCCAGACACTAAGCAAAGAAATTGGAAACAGCAGTGAAAAACACACATGGTCCCTGTCCTCTTTGAGTGTTTAACCTATCAAAGAAAAATCCGGGACAAGTAATGAGCTGTAGTGACAGGCACTGTCACAGTACAAGGTGCTAAGAAAATACAGGACAGAGAAGCATACATGATGGAAGGGAGCCAATCAGAAAAGACTTCTCTGATACTATAAAGCAAGTTTCAACAAATCAAAAGACCAAAATTATACAGAGTATGTTTGCTGACCATAATCAAATCACAAAAAAATTACCTAAAATTACCCATCTGTTTGGAAATTAAAAAATACTTTTCTAAATAACCTATGAATCAAAGAATTTGTGATGGAAATTAGAAAATGTTTGAAAAAATACTACACATTGAAACGTGGCAATAGCTAAAGCAGTATTAAGAGACATTTATAGAATTAGAATGTATATACTAAAAAGGTAAAAGACTGAATAAAATAAATAAATACAATTTTTAACATCTTAAGAATATATTAATGTCTTGGAGTTCACAAACATCTTTTTTAACAAAATGCAAAAAGAATGACCAATGAAGGGGAAAATTACAACTAGGACTACACTTAAATTAAGATTTCTTTCATCAATTCATGTTATTTAAAAAGTGAAAAGGCAAGTCACACAATAGAAAAGATATTTGTGACACTTTCAACTGACAAAGAGCTCATTATAAGACTATATAAATATATTCTACAGGCCAAATAAAAGATGACTCAATTGGAAGATATGCAAAAACTTAAGCACGGCAAATTATAGCAGCCCAAGCAAATAATAATAATGAAAACTTTAGGGTGGTAAATAGTAGGCTAGAGAGATGTGCATAGATTCAAGAGACTTTTATGTGGTATGATATATCATAAAACATTTGCTTTATTTATTTTTATAAAATAAACATAAAATAACCATTGTAAGTTTCAAATGTATTTTAATACTTTAGGCTTCTAAAAGGTTGAATACCTTGTTCGGCAGAAAATATTGTCCTTTGGGTGAGTGTTGTATTTTCCCCAGCAAGGCTTCCTAATCTACCAAGGAGTATCATAATTTGAAAATGATAACTTAAGAAATGCTCATTGATACATAAATGTTCATCCAGAACTCTTCAACCAGACTTGGCTATGGCTAGTTCTTTGGCTGTCACCTACTACTAATCTGAGGATTAGAAAATGTGGCAGCAATGAGCAAAATTCACTCCTCCCCTCACCCCAGCTCTTCAGGTCCCCATTTGTCCCACCCACATCCTAAATATAATAGGGAAGAGCCCTGATCCATCTTGGGCCATTGTCTCTGCTGGAGTGACTGGGAGTGTATCTGCCACTGTTGGGCCTCCCCCAAAGACCTGAGTTCAGTGGAGATCAGAAGTGCAGTAGAGATCAGAAAGAAATCAAGACTACATAACTAAGCACCCCAGATCCTAAAAGAACTCAGACTTGCTTCCAGTGAGTCAGTCAAGGCTAGAGCCAGATAATCCTGAATCCTCATTATCTATTCTCAGAGCACCAGTATAATAACACAATCAGGTATCTGAGCTTCCTAACATGAGATTAAACTCTGCTTTCACCATGCTTCCCATTGATGTCCAAAGCCAACTGGAAGTCAGGAATCACTTTTCATAAAAACTAAAGAGCCATTTATTTGGGGGCTGGGGAGATAGCTCAGTGGTAAAGTGCCTCCTAGCATGCATGAGGCCCTGAGTTCAATCCCCATCACCATATAAAAAATAAACAACAACAATAAAAATTATATTTTTGAAAAGCCATTCATTTTGCACACACTAGTTTGCATAAACTGACAAAGACATATTACTGGAAGACTTTTAAACTCATTTTAGTATAATTAACTGGGCTCCTACACCTAGAAGTTGCCAGAAATATTTAGTCTGACATTTTAGGAATATGGGAGCAAAGTGAGGAGTTTTAGACTATGCCCTAAAGAAGAAAGAAAGAACTTTCCATGGGATTTATAACTTAATATACATTGAGATTCCTATTCCAGCCACTTCTCCAAAGTTTCGAAGCTTGTTAGAATTGTTCTGTTTACAACAGCCTCTCAGGCCTGGACAAAAGAGATTTCTTACTTCTACAGTAAGAAATGAATGTCAGCCCATCAGGGTTGGTTGTCTAGCTTGCAACCTTTGGCAAGTGACTGCACCTCTTAGGCCTGGGATTTCTGCCCCTGAGTGGGGGAAAGTGCATAACAAAGTAACCATCCCAGAGAATTGTTGTGGAAATTAAATCAGATAATCCATTAAAAAAAAAAAAAAAAAACTTAAAACAACACCTGTCCACTAGCATCATCTGGGTTCCAGCTGCTGCTGGGAGCAGTCTGTAGCCTGATTTTAAGTGGAAAGAATGTCATGGACCCTGAAACATGGATTTCCAGGGGGTTCATTGGCACGTGGGTCTGATGACAGAAGAACAACTTTGGGATGATGGTCTTTTCTTTATTGATGCTAGAAAATCAAACCAAAGACTTTGACCGAGGGAGCTAAGTACTATGCTACACCCTAGTCCAAGAACAACTTTCTTTTTGGGGAGGAGAGGGGACTGGGGATTGAACTCAGGGGCACTTGACCACTGAGCCACATCTCCAACCCTGTTTTGTATTTTATTTAGAGACAGGTCTCATTGAGTTACTTGGCACCTCGCTTTTGCTAACGCTGGCTTTTAACTCTCCATCCTCCTGCCTCAGCCTCCAGAGCTGATGGGATTACAGGGCATGGGCCACCTGCGGGTGAGAACAATTTCCTTGAAAGGATCATGGTTGGAGTCCAGATGCCCACTGCCCTCAAACGAGAGTTGCCCTGCCATCTAGTGCCCAATGGCAGCAAATGCCTGAATTCCACCCATAGGACCTCAATCCTTTGTGTCCCACTCACCCACTAGTCTCCAGGCACTTCCCCAAGGCTTCAATCTGGTTTGCTCTCTGTTTTGCTCATGACAGCCTCCGGAGCCTGGCCTCGGAGACTCTTGTGTGCCCAGCGAAGGCCCGCTCCTCAATTCAATCAGATTGAATGCAAAGGCGTTCCTGGGGCACCTGGGCGCTCATTTCCTTCTTCACCGTGGGACCATCTCCTATAGCACTGTTATTCCAATACTACCTGCAACTGTCAACTTCCCCTTCTCACTGATGCTACCTTCTGCACCCAAGATCCTACCTAGCACAGTGCCCACAATGTGTTTGATAAATGAACGTTTAGGATAGTAAAGATGGGGGTTCGGTGGGGCATGCTAGATAGAACCACTCCAGAGTTCAAAAACAGCCTCCTGTTGCTTTCACATATATGCATCGCCATTGATTGGATATCTGTACCCCCCCCCCGCCCTGCCCTTGATGCTAATTTTTAATTATATGTATATATGTATATATGTGTGTGTGTGTGTGTGTGTGTGTGTGTGTGTATGTATATATATACACACACACACACACACACACATCTACCCAATTTCACTTCTAGATATTTACCCAAGATTAAAGAAATTCTGTGTCTTGCAAAAGACTTGCTAAGAGATGTTCCTAGTGACTGCTTTATTCATAATAGCTAATAATTGGACAAGACAAAAATGCCTTCCAACAAGGGAAAGGATAAAGTGTGGTTGCCCATTCAAAGTGATACTCCTCGGCAGCAAAAAGGGAACCAAAAACATGGTTCTACTTCAAAAGCATTATGCTAAATGGGGGGAAAAAAGCTAGACACAATGAGTATATGCTCAATAATCACATACACATGAAGCTTTAGAATGGGAAAAATGTAATCTATAGTAACAGAAAGAGCGGAGTTTGGCAATGGACACGGCTTGTTAAAACTCATCAAGTTGTACACCTAAGATCTGAGTGTTTGTATGTTAATTCCACGGGTTTTTTTTTTTAAGAATTTTAAGGATGGAACGGAAGAAGAAATAATGGAGGAGAGAAAAAAGGGAGGCAGGTGGGCAACCAGCCGCAGCGCTCGCTGCCGGGCGGGCGCACATCCCAGCGGTTGCGGGTGGCTGGCTGCGCACGAGCCTGCGGGAGGCGGACCAGGGACTGCGCGGCGTGCAATTGCTCCCTTTGGACGGCGAGGGGCGGAACGTGCGCTGAGTCCATGTGGGCGCCGGCGCGGCGTTGCGCGGGGTCGCCATGGCGGAGGTGCAGCAGCTCCGGGTGCAGGAGGCGGTGGACTCCATGGTGAAGAGTGTGGAGAGGGAGAACATCCGGAAAATGCAGGTAACAAGGGGGACCGAACTGAGGTCCCCTTTCCCGCGGTCTGATTCCCAGACTCCCTCAGCTGCTGCTCTATGCGCGGCACCGCTGTCCCATCCCTGCAGACCGAGTCTGGGCGCCTCTGGGGTGACCGTGGCGTCCTTCAGCCCGCCTCGCCCTCAGACAGGGCTTTGGAGCTTAGGTTTATCGGGTGAAATCCTTGGCCCGGCCACGCGGTAGGCCGTTGTCCACTCAGTTCGACCTGGATGAGAGGGTTCCACGGGCCAGAGTTAGAAGGCTTGGGTGTGTGGGGCGTTCGTCCCGCCCCCCGATCCTCTCTGGCTCGGCCCCTTACGCAGGTGAACAGCCCGAGACCCAGAAAGGACAAGATGGAAGGTCAAGTAGAAAAAAAATCTCCCGGTCTCCCCAATAGCCAGGTCATGCCCGGTTCTGTTGCCCCGAACCTTGCATTACAAAACGCTAGTGTGTGTACAGTTCTGCTTTGACACCCCCGCCCCCCGCCCTAAATGTTTTGTGGTTGTTCGTCCCACCTCCCTCACCGGATTGTGGGTTTCCTTTATACTGTCCCTTGAGTCAAGGATTAATTGGTCGAATGCCATTTGGTGGAAGTAAGATTACTAGGTTGCCGACCTCTGTACCTGTGGGTTACCTGGTTTCACCTGTCCATTTCTTCCTTCCCTATCTACTCAGCCATTGGTACCAACAGGTACCAATGAGCTAGCCATAAGAATGCCATGAAACACTATACTAAGCACAGGATAATTTTCTTGGTCGTGGTTTTAAGGTCCTGATATCTATTCTAATGGAAGGTAAAAGCAGGTTAAGAGAGACATGTAAATACACATGTAACCTCCTAAGCCTTGTATTTACTACTTGATCATCTCTGTCCCTCTGAAGCTTTTCTACCTGACCAGGCTCTGTCCTCTCTCCCCAGGGCCTCATGTTCCGGTGCAGCGCCAGCTGCTGTGAAGACAGCCAGGCTTCCATGCAGCAAGTACACCAGTGCATTGAGCGCTGCCATGCACCTCTGGCTCAAGCCCAGGCCTTGGTGACCAGTGAGTTGGAGAAGTTCCAGGTGAGGAATACCCCAAATAGAGGTGTATAGTCCTTGATGTACTCTGCAAGAGATAACAAGTGTTTGTTCAGGCTCTTGGCTTTAGTGTCTTAGTTCTGTTTAAATTTGTAATAGTCCTATGGCTAATCAATCTTCCCAAGGTTTGAAATTTTGAAAAGATCCTGAAAGTTGAGTATTAAGTTGAACTATCTTTTTCCATAAAACAATGATGTAAAAAGGAATTACCAGACCTGGTGTGGTGGCACAAGCCTGCAATCCCAGCAGCTCAGGAGGCTGAGTCAGGAGGATCACAATTTCAAAGCCAGCCTCAGCAATTTAGCAAGGACCTAAGCAACTTAAGAAGACACTGTCTCAAAATAAAAAAGGACTGGGGATATGGCTCAGTGGGTTAAGAGCCCCAGGGTAAATCTCCAGGACAAAAAAAAAAAAAAAAGGAGTTGCCAGGGGAGTTTATGACCAAAAGCCCTTATACTTTGTGTTGTAAAGTTTGGAGTGTTTTAGACACATACAGATAGTGTGTATGCTATGTAGTATAAAATTTTCTAAAACGTATGTTGATCCATTTTTAAGACAGAATTCCCAGGAAAGTAGAATAAGACAGTTTTTAAAGGTACACGGTTAGAGCAAAACCCTGCATTTATTTTGTGAACTTACAAGACCCACCCAAGACTACCCCTGCTTGCCTCACCCAAGGGGCAGTTCTGGTGTCACTGAGAATGGTCATTTATATGAAGCATTTTTGTTGACTGATGCCTGGCTCAGAAACGCTCCCTGACATTCCTAAGAGAGCTGCCTTTTACCTTTTCATTTTATTCCCTTCTTCCATGTATATTTAGAGCCCTCTTCTGAACCAGTCTCTCATAACCTGAGATTCCATTCACAGGAAAAAGAATCACACCTAATCAAGCATGGTGGCACATGCCTTTAGTCCCAACTACTAAGAAAGGTGAGGGAGGTGGGAAGATCACTTGAACCCAGGAAGGAGTTCAAACCCAGCCAGGGCCAATATAGTGAGAGACCCTACCACTACCACCTCTCAAAATAAATTAATTTATAAAAATAAAAAAGAAGAAATTGCACCTTATGTATGATACATTTTTTACAATTGTGCTATACAAAAACTCTTCAAAATTACTGCCATTATGAAGGGAAAATTTCTCCAAGATCATGGAAAACCCTCCAAAGGATTTCTTTGTTCATTTAACAGTTAATTTTATAGACGAGGTCTTTGAAAACTTGATTCTTGGATTACTATATAATTTTCTCCTTCTGTTCTCTTTGTAGTCTTGATTCAGGCAGACTTCCACCTTCCACTGTACCAGAACTGTTCTTGCAGTTGTGAGTACAACTCCTTGGGATAAATCCAGTGATCATTGTGCAGTCCTCATCTTAATCAACCTATCTGCATCATTATGCAGTGACTCCCTCACCTCTCCGAAGCACTTTATCCTTTGGCCATCAGAGCACCTCTCTCCCTTTCCCTCTTTCTTGGCCTCCTTTGCTGGCACTTTCCTTTCCAACCTCTTGAGCGTTAGAAATGCCCAGGCTATACTGGAACCCTGTCTCTTTTTCTAATTTTTTTCTAATTACTTGTCTGGTCTAATTGTTGTAAGTATCATCTGTATCGGATAACTCCTACATTCACATCTCAGACCAGACCTCACTCCTGAACTCCAGATTCATATGTCCAATGGTTTCCTCAACAGGTCCACTTACTGATTTTATTGGTCTCTCCCCTCATTGAAATGCAAGTTCCATGGGGACAAGAACTTGTATCTGTTTACTCATTGCTATATTCCACAACATTAGAAAAATGACTGGTCCTCAATAAATATTTGAATTGAATTGAGTGTTCCTATGTCACAAAAACAGACAATAAAGAATCAATATGTTTCAAGATAGTACAGTGGTTTCCACATAATTTACCCTCTTGTTCCCCTTCTTTCTAGTAATGGTTTGTCTGGATCTTCCTGGTGTGACCTTCTGTTTCACCCAAGACAATCTTAATTAATTGAACTTAGTATTCCTTTAACTGATCCAGATATGAATGCCAAGACTAGCACATGATGAGCACTTAGTAAATGGAACCCAGCCTCTCAGCCTTCTCTTCCTTCTTGCTTTAGGACCGCCTGGCCCGGTGTACCATGCATTGCAACGACAAAGCCAAAGATTCAATAGATGCTGGGAATAAAGAGCTTCAGGTGAAGCGGCAACTGGACAGTTGTGTGACCAAGTGTGTGGATGACCACATGCAACTCATCCCAACTATGACCAAGAAGATGAAAGAGTCTCTCTCATCCATTGGGAAATAAAAGTTCTTGCCAGTGACCACTGGGCTCAGAGCAGGAATCTATTTTAAAAGGATTGAGAATTTTTAGTCTCTTAAGCAAAGTTTATATGAATGAAGAAACTAAGGATGGCAGCAAGTTTAAGGCATATATCACTTGACTCTAGACACTGGTTCCTTTGTGTCTTGATCCAAGAAAATGAAATGGGAAAAAAAAAAATGGTGCTAAAATTTGAGTGAAAGGATGGGAGAGCCTTTTAGAGCCTAAATTTTACATGGCAAGTGGTTATCCTGACAGTAGAAAGCTCCCTTGTACCAAGCCAGAGTCCTCTAAGGTACTAGATTCTTACAACACAGGTATCTACAGGATGGCAGGTTCTTCCAGACTGCCAGTGACCTGGTAGAGTTTGAGAAGAGGTGTTTTTGTTTGTTGCCAACCTCCTGTTTACCAGAAGTAACATACCATTTTCCATAAGCTGTAAAACAAAATCCAGGAGATCACTAATCTAGGAGAGGGGAAAGATTTCCAGATCTTTATTTGGTTTGGTAGTTTTTTATATACAAGGCATGAAATGGACTTAAGATGTAAATCTGAGAGGGAGAATAGTTTGAATAAGAACTTGGAAAGCTTCAAGCTTCCTTGTGTATACCCTTTATGGCCATCGAGCTATGGATTTCTTGACATTTTTATTGCATCTCTCAGCTGGGAGACCACTGCAAAAACACAAGAGGCAATGTCACATTAAGTATGGGAAGCAGAGCTTCTTCTACCAGCATATGAGCCTTGAGGCATTCTGCAGCAAAGTGACAGAATAATCTTTCCCCCTTTAAGAGAAAGGAATTTTGATTGTGATACATATACCAGTATCTGGAAATAGTAAAACAGTGACTGTTCACTAGCTAAGGGAATTGTGAAGTACTGTCCTTGGAAGAAGGAGAAAAAAAAAAAAAAAACAGCGTTTCATAGAACAGAAAGGAACAGAAGCCTAAATCCAGCATTTCTTATTTAGTTCCCTGAATTAACAGAGCCTTATGGAGATAATCCCCTGGCAACAGGAAAGTTAAAAAGTAAACAGCTTGGGCTAGGAAAAACTGTGACACCCACTCCCACTTTGAGAGCAAAGGAGGGACAACCCACACAGTAACCTTTACCATTTTTGCCTGGGGCCTTTGCAACATGCAATATTTCTGCCCCAGCTTGGCACCTTAACTTCTGGATAAGGAGCATGTTGTCTTTTTTACAAATTTATTACTTGAAATGATAGTATCGCCTGTCTGTTTGCTCTGTCAAGGCTGTAATATATTTTCCTAGCGGTTTGGTTTTAAAATAAATAGTTTCATTATCTCCCTGTGATGATGTTTCTTTGTATCTGGACAGTGATTTTGTCACTTTCTTAGTATGTTTCTTCTCATTATGTGTGAAATTTTTTAAGCTGTATGGAAGAGTGGAAATTAATTATATGTTCAGATGTAGGACCAATTCACAGAGGGAAGGCTAGGACATGATGACTTGAAATCCATTAATGAAGAAAAGAAACTAAAAACATATGTCAAGTTTCTAGTTTCAACAGTAACAGCAAGTAATGGAAAAGCTACATTGTTATGACCCTTCAAGAGAAAATTCAGTGCCTAGGATTTTTGAGTACCATCATACATCAAATATATGATGTATTTTGTCTTTACTATACTGAATATTAGGAATGCATTTAACTTTAATCTGGATTTTACTGTTTGGGATAACAACAGAAAACAAATGGGAATCCACTTTTTAGACTTGTATACTTGATGTTGAAAATCAATACCTCCTTAGAGAATATCTACGCTGCACTTCGCGTTTCATACATTGGGTGCGTGGTACATTGAATGGAGTTCTGGAGGCAGTGTTAAAAGAATTACTGGGGACTGGGATTATGACTCAGTGGCAGAGCGCTTGCCTAGCATGCATGAAGCACTAGGTTTGATCCCCAGCACCACATTTTTTAAAAAAAAACTAAATAAAGGTATTGTGTTCATCTACAACTAAAAATAATAATTTTTAAAAAAGAGAGAGAAGAAAGAATTACTGGGCCATCAATAGGGACCACATTCCAAGGCTCTAGGTTCAAATTCCTGGAGACAGACCCAGCAGCCTTACTTCTAAATCACTAATTTGGGTGTTATGGAAAGCCCAGGAACAAAGTAGTAATTCCTGCCAAAGAAATATCATAGGCCCACTCCTCCAGAACTCATTTCCATTCGGCATATATAAAGAAAATAAGCAACATGATCCACAAACATAACTAGCCGGAGTTACCCAGAACCAGACACCTGACTTACCTCAACTTCACAAAAAGGAAACAAGCAAGGCCCCTCCTCTCCGTCAAGGCCAATCGCCCACGACGTAACCGGAAACCGGCGCCTGACCAACGTGCTTGGACTTCCTGTAAGTATCGCGAGGTGAGATGTAAAAATTACCGACCAACGATTGGCTATCGGGCCGGTGACGTCAATCGTAAAACGCCGAGTCTACCGCGGTAGCGTGAAGGAGGCCGCCAATTCCGATTCAAAGCGGCTTTGAGCTTGAAGAGTAGACAATATGAGCAAGGCTCATCCTCCCGAGCTGAAAAAGTGAGTATGTGTGAGGTCCGCACGGAAAGGGCCGCTTCCATGCTTGCCCCAAGTTTCTTTAAGTCTTTTCCATTTCCCGCCATTGTGACTGGCGTGTGTATGCCGAACGGGCTTGGGCCCCTTTCTGCCCATTTCTTATTCGGACCTGAAGCCCCTCGGGATTCACACCAGGGTCTGGCTTTCGAGCCGGAAGCCCGGGCAATCGAAAAGACAAAATTGCATAACTATTTCTTTGAGCTTTTACTAAGAAATTCCATTCCTTTTTTCTTTCTCCTTTTTAAATTTCATTTGTAATTCATACATAGAAATCCTACTTACAAGGGCTGGGGTTGTGGCTCAGTGATAGAACACTCGCCCTGGGTTCGAATTCTCAGCACCACATAAATAAATAAAAGTATTGTGTCCATCTACAACTAAGAAATATTAAAAAAATAAGAAGAAAGAAATCCTACATATGAATAGGGTACCACGTGCTGTTTCGATACATTCTTGCCCTGTTGTAATTAAGTTAAACTTGAATGTGGTGTTATGTCTTGTTCTGGTGTTAGAATTGTGTGAGAACATTAATATTTCTAACCAAAAAAGGCTAGTCCTTTGGAGTTTTGTTCTGCGCCTAGTAGAATCACCATAGATGTCTTTAAGTAGTTCCCGGTTTAAAGCTTAACCTCCGCAAAACTTTTTGCCTGAACTTAACATATGTCCTGTCTACGAAGTACTTGTCTTCTTTATAACCAAGTAGTAATTTATACATCGTTCTTTATCTGCATGTGTTAATTGGATTGCACAGCCATATAATCTGCCTTTTGTATAATCTGTTTTTTAGTGGTCCTGAAAAAAAGATAGACATAAGGAAGCGTTTGTATTTAAATGTACATTTTTATCAAAGCAACTACTGTGTACAAATCCGTGTGTATTTTAATTGAATTTTTTTTTTTT